ATTTTATTTGTATAAATATTTTCTTTTATTATATAAGTAATAAAAAAGTACGTCAGCCTACATGCGCTCCAAAAGCACCATACATTTAAGTACGGACCTGTCAAAACTGTCACGTGGTCCGCTGCACGTAAGGTTGGGTGACATCAGTGGAGGGAGTACAGTGGCCAAAATGGCGGCCGCTGCGCTTCGTCGTTGAAGAGGTGCGAGCGATCGCGACGTCGTTTTCGACATATTCGCCCACGGAATATTTGCCCTTGCATGATTCGCGCGGCCGTGAAGTGATTTACGTATTATGTCATCGTACACGTTCTCGCAGAAGCTGTTCACGCCGACGCCACCGGAACGCGGCAGTTTCCCGCTGGATCATGACGGCCGCTGTAAACGTACCATGATCAAATATATGCGCTGCCTGGCCGAGAATCGCAATCAGAACACGATGTGCCGCGACATCGCCAAGGAGTACCTCGGCTGCCGCATGGACCACGATCTAATGGCGCGCGAGGATTGGTCCAAGCTCGGCTTCACCAACGAAACCAGCGACGTGGCCAGCGAAACGTAACGCCGAGATCATCTTTAAGATATCCTTGCGTGTCTCTCTTTCTCTCTTGACAAGTAGGGGAGTCGGGCATCTGTCTCCTCTCATTGTCACCGTTAATTCTTTCGGAGATTCTACTCCGAGGGTGCACATCCTTAGCCGATTAGTGTTCTTGGAACTTACGTTCGATGTAAATAGAGTATCAATTAGTCGTGATTTACAATCGAAATTAGTGTGTTCAGGCATGAATATACGCACTGCCAGCCAGGTGTGATAAGGACTTTGCGTTTTCTCCACTTCAGTGTTGCAGCAAAATTTAAGGAGAGATTTTTGAAAAGGGAGAGAACAATACAGAAAGAAAAATTGAACAATATTAAAAATTCGTGTATGTTATCTTTTGCTTTCATAAGAAGGAAGATTGAAAATTAAATTATATTGCTCGACACACCAGTGAATTCTCAAGCTTTAATGTAAAGGTATCCCCCTATAGCTTGTTATGCAGTTGGATTCTGTTGCAACTCAAGTGGCCTAAAATATCAAATAGAATAGAGAATATTGATATTTATCACGTTGACAAGCAAAAATCTATCAGCTTACGCACAGATTGATATATAGTATAAAGGTAATAACAAAGGAAACAAATATGGCAAGTATCTCCAGAAAGAAGGTATTGATCGGTTGCACCGGTAGCGTGGCTACAATCAAACTGCCACAGCTGGTGGAGATGCTGCGGCGAAACAATCTTGAGGTGAGAGTAGTCGTGACGGAGAGAGCCAAGCATTTCCTGAAAGATGCTCAGCTGCCATCCGAAATCCAAGTACTGTCCGATACGGTGGAATGGGCTGCTTGGCAGGACCGGGGCGATCCAGTGCTTCATATAGACCTGGTGAAATGGGCTGACATATTTGTGATAGCGCCATTGGATGCCAATACATTGGGCAAAATTGCCAGTGGCATATGCGACAACATCCTTACATGCGTTGCTCGTGCATGGGACAATACAAAGCCGCTCCTTTTTTGTCCAGCCATGAACACCAAAATGTGGGAACATCCGATCACCATGCCACAAGTGAGATGAAAGAAGTAATATATCAAATGTTAGAGTTAAGGCAGAATTTTGTTTGCCTATATATATTGAATTAAATCTTCCATTGAAATATGTGGCATAATATACTAAAATATTAAAATTTAAATAGTCCAGTAAAAATCAATTCTTAAATTTCTTTTCCAATTTTTTTTCTTCCCTAAAAATATTTTTTCTTGTTACAAATTTTTTCAATAATAGAAAGATGCGTAGAAATAGGAGAAAATATATTACATCTATTCCTTTAGATTGTGCTTTCTATACTTTATTTTTTTCTTACCGTCTTTAAGCAAAATATAAATAGGGACAGATTTTTTTTACTTTTCTATCTCGTTTCTCAATTCACATTTTTTCATTCGTGTTTTTAATGAACACAGAAAGTTATAAAGTTGAGTTTTACTTTTTAGGTATCGCTGCTCAAATCCTGGGGCTACAAGGAGGTACATTGCGTGTCCAAGACGCTGATGTGCGGCGACACAGGGATGGGCGCGATGGCCGAAGTGGACACGATTGTGCGGTCCACCTTGCGAGCCTTGAATCCCTGGGGGGATTCGCTGGATCCGCCTCTCTAGCAGCGGCCGTCATCCTCCTCGAGCGCGCCTCGATGGCCACGCGAATATCGATGAGGATGTCGAGAACATGTCATTAAACTCCAAACACGCGCTATGGTGCGATTTGAACATACGCTTAAAAAAAATACACGCCAATGTCGCTTATCTAACAGTATCAAGATTGCGAGCCTAAGGACCAGCAGAAATCTCGGGCCGTATACGAGTTATGTGATAAAGAGTTTACGTTTACCAATAATAATATCTGTCAATAAGTTTTTCCTCGAATTACGTCATTTTTTCTAAGGATTGTATTTTTTAAAATGACCTTTAAGATAAATTTCCTATATTATGTTATATTATGAAGTAAAAATGTTAATTGAAAATATGTAGGAATCTACAAAGGATGAAATCTGAGTTTGAGCACGGTCGTCATATTCTTTGCTCAACCTGGAATAAGAAAATCAATCTTACAGAGTGGAACAAACGAGATAATCGTAATTTTATCTGTCCCTAGTTGCCGAAATGCGATGTATAAAGATATGCTGTAAAGAAGATTCTGTGTTGACATATCTTAAGAGTTGATTTGCCAGAACATGTACATGCTTTTGTTGAATATATGAATGATATAATATATGAACAAATAAATATACAAGGTGTTCTCCTCGCACATATAAATCTAACTTAAAAATTTTCAGGAGAATGGCGTATCGAGTTTGTTCGGCAAAGTCACTTTATTTCCGTATATACACATATAAAGCACGAACTTACAATATAAAATACATATAGCATATAACGTTACACATTTTACGTTAATTATTTCTTAAGTTTGGAATAAACAAAGGGAAGGATTTTTTCTCGTCTTATGCTTTTGGTTAAACTGCAAATGAGATACATTGCTTTGATGTATTTCGTTTTTGTCGTAGTCTTAACAAAGATACACTCAACCAAAATCATCGAGTTAATCGATAACAGAGAAGTATAATATCGTTTGTATTGTTTGTCCCCGTCTCGTTGCTGCACGCTTTACAAACATACGATACATTCTGCAACACGCACGGCTTAATATAACTATTATATATATATATAACACGTATATAAATATATACGGGAGTGTATATTTATATGGAAATATTAATATAAACCTTGCAAGCGTATTTCGAGATTAATCTGAAGTCGATCTCTTCCTTACAAAAATTTAATTACAGACGCCATTCTTTTTCTATTTATTGATCTTGAAAATTATATTCACGATTATTGAAGTCTCGATTTAAAAAATTCTGTCGAATCAAAGTTCAATCAAGATTCAAAATGCGGGATAAGATCCTGTTTATTCATTTCTATCCTAAAGTATTTTTTCATTAAGCGCCTCTAATATAAAAAACACTGAAATCTTGGGTTGAGGCAAAATCAACTTCAGGCTAATTGTAATTTAAAGATACGCCCACAAAATTCATACAAGCATTTCAGGGATACACTGCACCATATACATATATAAATCTGCGAAATTGCATTTATGCTACTCCTTTTTGACATTATCACTAACTACTCGAGATATCGCGCGCGGTATATAAATATCACAGTTTACAAAACTGGCGACACTGCGTTTTGCCTATGTCCTTTTTCGCTAAATTATGCGATATTAATAATTAATACAATATTTATATAAAATACGTGCTCTTGTCGGAATCAGATATCTCGCCTAGAGAGAGATTCCGAATTAATAATCGCGTCACGATTTACGGAAGGTCATGCGAAGTTTCTTATCGATGGCGCATATTGATCCTTGGAACAACAAGGATTTCTCTATCTCGATTTAAAATCTCTGTAGCAAAAAGAATAAGGAAAAATGTTGGATGGATTTTTTTGGCAGTGGTAGTTTGTAATCGCTAGAATCGCGCGCAAGATTGTCTGTAAAATATCCTCAAGAATTCACGTTTTCTTTTGAGGATCAATTGTTCGTCCATCGTGCAATATAAATTACATCTTATGTTAATTACTTGGTATATAAATGCGGCCGTGTAAAAAGATGATATAGAAAAATGGTCAAAAATATTTTTCATATTCCAATTTTCATCGACATCGATCTGAAAAATTCGAATTCTGATGTTCGTATTTCACGAAAATCCTGTACGAAATATCGTTTGTCGGCGGCTAGAAGGACACTTGTATTACAGCGATAATCTGAAAGTACAAGAAGACAAAAACAAATGTAACAATGCAGCCCTTTCATTTTTATATTTTTGATTTAAATATGTTTAAATTTTAGCTGCTAAATTCTATTTGCGATCCGTGTAAAGCGTAAAACATTACACTGCTTCACTCGCGATCTCTTGAACTGCTATACAAAATTATATATTATATAAATCTTATATAGATATCGTTCAATTGTTTCATATATAATATAATTTTAATTTTATGATACAATTATGGTTAAATATGATCAAATGATATACGGTTTTACGATGTTTACAAAAATTTTGAATTAGAGTATTTAACGGTAAATAATATTATATTAATATAGTTATCATTTTTTTCAAAAACTTTTTTTTTTAATTATGCTATCTATTGCTTCGAAAAATTAATGATTTTAATGCAATGATTTTTTTTAATTACTTCATTTTCAAACGTACATTGTTCTCGTGACAAAGATAGCAATGATCATCGCGAGTATCGGCACGGTTCTTCCGGCGGAAGCCGAGACAATCCTCGACTTCCTAGGCAGATTAGTCTCTATGTCATTGGTTTCTACTTCCGGCGGCGGACAGCCCATCCAGACCGGCGCTGATAATTTCTGTTTCTCGTGGGCCACTCTCATCCTGAGGTCGTCAAACTCCCAAAAACCTTTACCCTTAAAGAAGTACGTCTTGCCTGCCGAAAAAGCAAAATCATAGAATTTTCAATGAAAGATCAATGTTACACACAAAATTATTTGTAAGATATTAGAAACGTTATATAAAATACCAAAAAAAAAAAAAATTGAAATTATATTAAAAATTCTCGCAGATGTTTGTTAAAAGTTAAATTTATTCATATAACATATTAGAATGAAAGAGAGAGTCATATTTATAATAAATTTATTTTGAAAATTGATTTTTGAGATTTACCATTTTTCCATTGGAAAACGGCGTCAATGTCATTCCCAACGCCAGCGAACATGCTCATGTCCCTTGGATAATCGAGCTCCACGTAATTAACAGATTCATCGAATCTGTGTGACAGAAAATTAAACTGGAGAATTGAATTTTATTTGGAGAATTAAAAGCGGAAGGAAAAATGTAAATCGGATTGCACATATTGACGTTCGAATTATACTATGTATTTAAAGAATATACATATGTGAAATGTGATTTCGATGTAGATTAACATTTTTTTTTCAGGGATATAGATTGTGTTAGAGAAATTTAAAAATTTGAGAAGATAACATACAGAGGAGAGAATAAAAAAGAAGCATAAATTTAATTTAAGAAACTTTAGAAATTGTGCTTTAATCACCTCCAATACATGGAACCGCTAAAGAAGTAAGTCCTGCCGTTGTGACCCCACACCATAGCGCCGTCAATCTTCTCCAAGGAGGCTGGCAATCCCAGATTCGTCAACGGTTTTGGATAACCCGGCTCCAGATTGATGGCGTCGAAGACGTAATATTCACGGCCGACGAAGAAGACTATCTTCTTGTCCGGACGTTCATACACGGCATCAACGTGATCGATATTAGGCGGTAGGTTAAACAGCCTAATGATCTTCGCCGGGTATCCCTGGTAGATTCCTTGATCGCCTATTCGCCACAGATACTGTGGATCAAAAAGAATTTCTCAATAGAAGTTGTCTTTTTTAGAGTATCTTATTTTGCTTTAGTAAAAAGATCAAAAATTATATAGATATATAAGTATTTAATTCTAAAATTATAAAATTCAGGGTATATAAATGTATGTATTTGTAATAATTAATAATATGTGTAATATTCTGATTTTTGTAACAAAAAAAATATCTTCCCTCCCCCGATATATATTATTAAAATTATGATTATATAATAATGATAAATACATTAAACTATCTTATTCATGCTTGAAAATTAGAAGTTATGAAATATTAGATATAATAATCATTTTGCCTTTAGAAAATAAATTTTTTTCTCCTGCAATAAGGTAAAATAATAACGCCTAAGATTTATTATATCTCTTTTTTCAAATTTATTATTATAAAATTCTCCCTATTTATATTTCCTCATTATTTTGTCTTTTATTAGAATTTAATTATTATAATATTTACCCGTCCTTTGAAAACAAAGACCTCCCTGCGAATGATGCTGATGGCGTCAAAGCTAGTGTCGCACTTGTCGGGCACATCATCCGGTTGCGGTGGGGTCCATCGATGTCTGAATCTCGGCGTAGGCCTCATCGTCGTCGTTGTCGTCGTCGTCGTCGACCATGTCGTATGATGACGATGGGGTTTATGTGGCCGATATTCAGGTTTCTGCGGATAACGATCCGGTTGTCGAGGCCTGCCGTCGTCCGGATAATGATTAGGCCTGGTAGGCCTCGTCCTCCAGGGCCTATACGTCGTCGCGGCTGTTGTCGTCGTTGTCGTCGTTGTCGTAGTCGTCGTTGTCGTCGTCGTTGGGGGTGGCGGTGGCGGTCGTTCCGGTGGCAGTGGTCCACCCGGTATGTTGCCCCATAGCTTGCCCTCGGGAGCACCTGAAAAACAAAATGAATACATATTTAGTTTCCACACAATTTCTATTAATAAATATTATTTTATACGAGAGAAGAGAGTTTATATTTTACGTTGAATAACAAGACATATTCAAGTAAGCGTTAAATCCATATCTAAATCTAATAATAATTTTATAATAATGTTGTAATTGTACGACGTATATCTTGAAAAATTAAAATAATACAATGATGTAAAAATTCGTCAAATTGATATGAAGCGTTTTTTTTTTTCAGAGGGATTTTGCAGGCCGATGATAAATGGACGTGACTCAATGAGATATGGACGAAGTTGCTTATCAGCACGAATACATTGACGGATGTATTCCAAATCGATTCATTCCAGGGTGAGTATACGAATAAGCGTACACGTTAATGCAAAGAGAAGCAAAAAGAGCTGATTCTGTTCTCGCTTCCTGCATCCGCTCGCGATGAATTCATCCCCTCGTCTTTCACGACGACCGACTATCCGTGAAAAGAGATCCTGTCACAGACGCGGTCGATATAGAAATATAATCATGTACAAGCTATATGGAAATGCGTCTCTATGAAACATAGTCCCGCTTTGAAAAGAGATAAATTTATCATTTGAATATTATATTTTCGCTAATCACAGCGCAATATTGCGCGGCGGAATATTTTAATCAGCAGATGTAAACAGCATGAGGTTATTATACAAGCGTATCGCTATTGAAAGAAATATTTATAAAAACATATATATATATATATATATATATATATGTTTTTATAAATATTTCTTTCAATAGCGATACGCTTGTATAATAACCTCATGCTGTTTACATCTGCTGATTAAAATATTCCGCCGCGCAATATTGCGCTGTGATTAGCGAAACCGAACAAAGGAAATTTGCGTAATATAATTTTTTTAATATATGTGCGAAAAGGATGTTTCGTTCTTTCTGGTAAATTTTATTTTTTACAACAAACAGTATTGAATAATAATGCTTATATACAATTTATCAACTCAAAGAAAACAACGAAAGAAAGTTTTGAGAGGCGTTTTAATTAAACCAAATAGATTACAAAAATTGCACTGAAATTCTGCTTAACAAATTTTTTTACACAGCGATTAGAATTTTCCTAGAGATACCGTGATTTTAATCAGTCTATCGAAACTATTTGCCAATTTCGGACAAGCGCGTTTTTTCAACCAGCTAGTTTAAATAAAATGCGTTTGCGATTCGAGGGCATATTGACTTTTGCTGATACACGGGCATTATTTTACTTTGTGTGATTGGCAATGGAAAAGAGGCACAAATAGCGAGGGCTTTTAAAATACCTCTCGCTTTTAAAGTACGAAGTTGATTTTGCGCCACACAGTTTCCGGTTTACTCTCGGGAAATTGAATTTTTCTGATATTACGTAAACGAACATATTACACAATTGTATATTTTCAGGGCTTCTTCACCGGGTTCAATTTTTTTTCTCATCTCTTGTTAAGTCAAATCTACGTCATTCCGCGTGATCAAATTTAAACAGCAAGTTTAGAAATTACAATAATAATTATAGCAATTTCCAATTCGTTATATTTAGATTCAATCTGACGTGAATTGATACGTATTGGATAAAAAGTAAACGCGCTTGAGAATCGTACTATGTGGTTGGTTATCGCTTCAAATCTGTATAACTTCAACCGTTAATAAAAAGAACTTTATGCATTTTAATTTTGGCAAAAAAAATGCTTAGAAAAAACATGGAACGATCAGTCTCGTAGATACATATAATCGTAATTCGAAGTTATCGGCCAGTTTCGATATTTAAATACATACACATAAATAAATAAGAAGAAATCAGATTATCGATAATATAATAAAATGATAAGGCACAACGACATTTCTGTACACGTTTAAATAATAAAGAACAAAAAAACGAAAAATATTTATATATAAGCGCATATAACTCTTACGTTCAATATTGCACGTTTACACGCGAGGAAAAAATATCGCACTTGCAGTAAAAATATTTCACAGACTTCACTGTTGTGGAGCGATAAATCTTCCATGATACGTGCAGGCGCGTTACACGATCAACATTCGGTTTTATTACTCTCATGATGCGTTTTATATTCTCTCTTTTTGCCTCTGTCGATGAAGATCATGTTATACTACTTCGGGAAAATCGCTCGATTAATTTCGCGGTTGCGACAAGGGCAAATCGGATTAATAGGGCAAAATTACGAGTGCGTTCACGAGTGTGTTAAATCGCATGTACTTCTTCTTCACAATGTGTGCAACACATGCGGGCGCAACGACGGATGCGCTCAATTTACCCCGTATATGTGATATGCGTTACATGTGTAATTGTGCGTACATATCGGTTTACGTTATTGATCGTCGAAGAGAAATGATATTTAAATACATTTGCGTAATTCGTTTGTCAAAGAGGCGTAGCGATTACAGATAAAACAATAAAAGCGCAATGTGGCGCATACAACCGGCGTAAGTTAAATGAACGAACGGGAAAATTAAAATTCATTCAAGCTATTAAATTCAAAACTGTAATCTTAATAAATGTCTAATATATAAAAAAATAGAAATAATATAATAAAATATCTAATAATAATAGATACCTAATATCTCTGTACGTGTAATATGCCATATAAAATAATGATTTGCATTAGAACAAATATAAAATTAATATAAAAATTATATCAAAATAATAATTTAAAAAATGTCAGCTTGCGATCTTTATATATTGCACGCAACTTATTATAAATTTAGCAAATTGCGATACATATATAGTATATATAAAAAACACTTAGGCAAAAAGATGACATAATGCATAATAACATTTTAGTATACGCACGCGCGCGTTTTACGTTTCTTTCAAAATATTTAAAAAAGTATAAGTATTATTTGGAAAGATATTTTTGAATGCACGAGAATTTCTTCGCAAATCGATATATCTTTATTAAAATGTAAAATTGTTTGTGTTAATTCTATCCGAAAGAATGCAGAGTTTTAAAAGGCTCGAATTTGACATGTCCCGTGCACCATTTGCATAGAAATCCGAACTCGACCGGGGCTTATCAAATAGCATGTGAATGCGATAACCCGCATGGCGTACTGCATGATTCTGTAATCGGACAATAATTAATATTCGCCAGTGACCTACCAATTAGCGTAATCTAGACTAGTGAAAAAGAGAGAGAGAGAGAGAGAGAGAGAAAGAGAGAGAGAGGGAGAGAGAGAAGAGCAAGAGAGGAAGAGAGAGAGAGAGAAAGACAGAAGAAGGAAACCGCTAGTTCCTGAACATCGAATCTAATCTCGATTCCCGACCGATGCAATTACAATGACGCGCCCGATAATTGCCTTCGCACCCCCTCCCCCTCCTCAATATTCTAACTGTCTCTCTCGATCTATCCCCTCTTCTATCGGTCGCAAGCAATCTTGCCGCCACGCCGAGTAATTTCCGATCATAATAAACCAAGTTAATCACGCCATCATTAACTCTAGATTTTATTATATTAACGTAGAAAAAACAATATCCATATAAGTCGTAATTATATTAATTTCCTAAAATGATTCAGCTTCATTTTTGAATGCTTAATATTTACAGTCTTAATTTTTTTATTTAATCTTTTTTCAATAACTTTTAATCAAGATGAAGGGAGCAGGTTTACACGCGCATTTTTAATTTTAAATTCAATTTTACTTCGGGCGAAAAAATATTCGATAATTTTATTCGCAAAGGCGGAGCTGCGTCCGGACTTTATTCCCGGAAAACGTCTTGTTTTCTACAACAGCTGCGTCAATTAAACGATCGGCCGTACATTAGCGCAATAACTGCAGTAACGAGAAATTATAATCCATGAAAATTGAAATGACTGCGATGAATCTAGGTCGGCGCCGTGAAAAGATAAACAGATGCGGGAAACAGTAGGGATAACGATCTTTAATGTACGGAAAAGACATAAACGTGTCGAACGACGCCGTTCGAGAATTATTATCATCAACCTTCGACACGATTTTCTTCCGGAACATATCCGGGAGGATGTTTCCCTCTTGTCATACTGGCTTGGAAATAACATCGAGATTTATTATCGCGAAATATGCACGAGTATAAAAGGGAAAACCAAGCGCCCTGTTTATAGCGCAGTAAGCTCGGTAGATGTAAAAATTCTGACAAAAATCGTTTCTATTTTCGTGATACATTAATCGTTTAATGAATAATTAATCTATAATTTAAAATATTTATATACTTTAATATTCCGCATATATATATATGTATATATTACAGTACGTAACTAAAATATTTCGGCAATAAATTATCAATAACATAGTTATTAATCTATATGTTATAGTACGTAAGTAAAATATTTCGGCAATAAATTATCAATAACATAGTATACAGCCTTGGCGGCGTAAACATTAGCGCGCTATTGTTTACGTTTTATGGTTTTGTTATTATTCGTACGGCGATACTTGAATAGTACTGTAGTAGTGGGAGACGCTCTGTCAAATTCCTTTCCCACTTTTTGTCATTCGCACGGCGACAATTGAACAGTGATATAGTAGTTTGGGACGCTCCGTCAAATTCTTTTTCTAAACGCGATCGCGACGTATCGGGAGATAATTTCTCAGCGTCGTCATTGCTGTCATCGTGCCGCGGATGGCTTGTCGCGTTAATATTAATTATTTTGAGCGCTGCTACAATTTGGATCTTCTATTTGCATGTTATAGAGCAACGGAGCGACCCTGACATTCTGAGAGGAGGAGGAGGCCTAGGCGAGGTATCCTGCACCAGCGGAGCAACCTAAGGGTGAGTATTATTATAAATCCCGTACCGTAGCTTGTAGATTATAGATGGATCCGTTATCTTAAAATGGATGGACTAGAATAAATTAGATCACATAACTTTTGACATTTTTTAAATAGAAATTTGCATTTGCATACTACAAAAGCAAACTAAAACATAAATAAAGAAATATAGAAAAACTTTTAATTCTTTATCAATTCATTCTT